CTGGGAGCAGGAGATGGATGTGCTGGTGCTGCTGAGAGATGATGAGAGAGTGATGACAGCCTGTGACATCAGCGAGGTGACAGGTGACAAAAATGGGCTGAAAAGGAGCTTTTGGGCACTTGTGCCAGAGTGGGATTTGCARGGATTAAGGGAGATCCTCACAGAGCTGCGTATATTTGGGTTCCTCATGGACCTGAGTGACTGTAAATGTTTGTTCAGGATCATTCCAGCAGGACAAAGGGATCCAGGGAGAGCTCAGAGCCYCTTGCAGGGCATAAAGGGGCTCCAGGAGAGCTGGAGAGGGACTGGGGMCAAGGGATGGAGGGACACAAAACCCCACAGTTTTTAGGAGGGGGAAACCCGAAGCTTTTCCCAAAAGCTTTGGCAGAATTGCAGGACTACACTGTTTTCTCCAAACTCCTGTTTCTTGCTGTGATTTTTATTTAAAAAAACCCTGTGAGTCAGTTTGTGAACAGCTTTAGTAAGACCTTTCAAACAGGAGGGAGCCTTGGAATTGTTGTATTTAAAGGTGAGGATATCCAATATCTGTTCATCCGTAATATTTCCAGCAGCTACTGATGTGTAAATAATTTGGATGTTTTTTCCTGCTCTGTTAAGACCAGGTTATTTATAATTTCCTTCACTTAAAGCAGTTGTTGCTGTGTAAAATTCTGTGCTTTATTCATGCCACATTTCTCTGCTTTTAAGCTGAGCAGTTTTCATTTGCTGCTTGGTGAATTTCCTGCTGAATTTAAAACTCTTTCTGAATTCCTCTTGGCTGCTGTCGTGTTTTAACCCCAGCCTGCAGCTGCAGTGGGATGGGGAGGAGAACTGGGGAAAGGTTGAGGAAAAAACAACTAAATAGTGAAATTATGGAAATGATTTAATAGTGAAAAGAAAATAATAAAGGGAAAAAGATCCTGGAATAAGTTGGGGTCAGCTCTCCTGGCCTTGATCCCCCCCAGCTTCTCGTGCAGCTCCCTGCTGGCAGACCCTGAAAATCCCTGATTTGGGGTAAGAACAACCAAAACAACCAAAATATGAGTGTGTTATCAACATTCTGCTCATCCTAAATCCCAAACGTGCTGTTTCACTACCAGGAAGAAAATAAACTTTATCCCAGCCAACTTTTTTCTTTATGCAGAGAGAGTGAAGCTGACTTRGCAGCACCAAGGAGTTGTGGGCAATTTGAAAGATTTTCTTTATTTTGCTTACTCAGGGACTCCAGGAATGTTCACATATTCACAGAATTTTTRTCTTCATCACAATCTGAAAATTCCATGCTGAACTTGGGCTCTCATATGTCCCTGGAGTGTTCTTGTGTGGGGGTTTTGTGCTTGTAGCTCCGCAATTTTTAATGCAGTATTCATAAATCCTACACCAGAGTAAAACTCATAGCATAAGTTAAAAAAAAACCTACTAAATAACCTACTAAACCCATTAAATAACCTACTAAACCCACTAAATAACTAAAAAACCACTAAGTAAAAATTTATTTAGTAGTAATTGTAAATATGTTAACATATCTGTGGAATAGACTCACTTAAGAACGGATGCATACTTGTTAAAATATAAGTTGGTTATTTATTATTTTCATCAGGGAAAGGCAGCCAGGCATATTTTATCCTTTAATTATTATTATTATTTTGTGCTATAATTATATTTTAATTATATTATATTCTAATTATTTCACAAATATATCACAAATATTGCCTTAACTGTGCTTGACAAGGATGGGTCAGCTCAGACCTTAAATCAACCCTGATTTAAGCAGATCCTCCTGCTGAGTTTTTTTTTTTTTTTCTCCCTTATCATGGGCAGGATATTCTGCTTTATTTAAACCTTTGCCATCTCTCTGGATGAGAATGCAGGAGATTAGGAGCTCAATCACACAAGGCTTTAAAAATAGAGATGCTGAGCAGTTGCATTTCTTGGCTGTTTGCACGGGCCTGCAGTG